ACACTCACTTACATATATATAGTAAAATATTTAAATTTATTGGTTACACATATATAGTTTACACATATATATATACATATTTCACGCATATGTTTACACACATATATATATGTTTACACTTAGTTACACATTATATATATATAATGTGTAACTAAGAATATTTCCAAACGTAAGTACCCCATGCTTTTATTTCTGGTTGCATAATACTGTGAAAGATAAAAAAACAGTAGAGCTTCATTTATCCGAAAGAATTCCAATCGGCAAATTTAAATTTTCGCCAGTGCTGTGGCGCTGCAATCTTTAGCTATGTCTTGGGGTACTCAAATATTTTACGTTTTTGATACTAAATTAACTTATGAAGTATAATTTTTTTGTTTTTATATTTTTCAATATATTTATTTTGTTTGTACAAAATAAAGAAATAATTTTTAACGATACAATAGCCACGATTATTATTTTAAAAAGTTTACATTAGGCTTAACATCGACGAAAATTCAACGTGAAGCGACACGCAATGGAGAAAAATTTCAACACAAGATAGGTTAATATATTTTTTCGTACATAATCAGTTATCCGAAAAATAAATTATCTGAACAATCCCAATCCCCAATTGATTCAGATAAACGACGCTCTACTGAATTTATTTTTTATCTTTTAGTGCATTTATATGAATAAAAAGCATTTCTTTAAAAAATTTTTAATAATTTTTATTTGTTAAGTGAGCATACATTTTGCAAAAAAACAAAGTTATTATAAAAATGTGAAATTTGGGAATTATTAACAATTTTCAGATGTACTAATACAAAAAATATGACACTTAAAAATTTCTTAAAAAACTCCAATATTTCTTACAAATTTTTTCCTATATTGGACTGTCCATAAATGATGTCCACACTGGAAGAGAGTGAAGGGTTGAGCTTTAGTGGACATTTGTTTATTTCATTAAATTTTATACAGTTTGTACATTTTATTATATTTATTTCAAAATTTCTTGCATGTTTCATTTCTACTTATAGTATCTATCATTCATAACGTGATGAACGTTTTCAGGGAAATGAGTTTTGTTGGACATAGAGAAGAGGGGTTATGAAAACTTGGACAAACTGGAACGAGAGGAGTGTACAAATTTCAAGAAAAATGCAGATGTAATTTATGGACAGCTCCTAAATATAACTGTGCTGAAGGTGCTCCAGTTCTCTAGTAAAAGATAATTTTCTAGTTAAAATACAAACCTGTACAACACTAGATAGAAATCTTCCAACAGATATATAATCTAACCCTTCCCAGCAGTTAATAGTCAAAACATAGTTTCCTAATAGTTTTGCCAATGCTTTAATGGTTTCTGTTTTTCCAGTTCCTTTGTGACCTTGGACAATTGTTCCTTGAAACATTTGTAATGCTGTTGTGACAGTAATAAAACACCTAAAAAAACAATATTTATAATTTAATATGTAAAGTTACCTTAATATAAATTATGTGAGATCTGCAGATAATTATATATATTATTATTATAAAATATTATAAACAAAATATTTTATTTATTTAATAAATTTCATAAAAAGATGTGTTAGTCAGTTCTGAATAATGGAGGAAACAAACTTCCTTTTTAGGCTAATAAAAACTTAACACACTGTCCTATGACAATAAGTCAGTAACCCAACCATCTCTATAAAAAGGGGCATTTTCCCACCATTCGAAATGAAAGCAGTTAATGAAAGGTTCAACCTTCCATGGTGCTCAATCATCGATGGGTCCAAAGTCATCATAACAGATTTCTACAAAGATATCCTATAAGGGACAGCTGCATAAGAAGTCGTCAATACTTTATAATGTGCACATATAAGTTACACTTCAAGATTCATATTCTTCTCTTGATCTCCTCCCACATAAATATCATACATCAATCGAAGACAAGAATAAGCCTCCTCTGTGAAGATAGTATAATACAATAGATTTATGTAAACTATTGTGCATAGATTAGATTAGAAATATTTTGATCTCTCCATGTATTGCATTTGTTTCATTTAACTATTATTAAATATTGTTGTTGTTTTTATAATAGTCTGGTTGATTAGTCTCATACAGTACCATCACACTCCACTCATTGAAAAGTCCTCTGATTTAATTAGATCTTAGATTTTGTTTTGCATGTTAATCTGCTGATGATAGATTAACTGGTGTCAGTCCTGACAAGATCTAGATTTTTCAAAATCTTGGTCTATATAAGCTTGATATAGTCATCCTTAGACAATGTGAGTGGATCTCAAGTTCTGATAGGAAGCACATTGCTAATCACTGTGGTAACAGCCCCTGTATTCTCACAACTGTAATTTAATTTTATTTACATTTATTAACTAACTAAATTTTTCCAGTTATTAAATAGTTATATGAATATAATAATTTTTCATATAATAATAATGATAATAATAATAATAATTCCGCACCCGTGGTCACCACCTGGTCATAATGGGAGAGCCCAGTAATTTTACTGAACCATAGAGCAATGCAGGCTGGAGCACAAGCTCCTGGTAGTAAAGCCCATGCCAGTAAGGTCTATGGGGAGAAATGAAGCTAAGAGTGACCACACCACATTCTGTGGAGATAATTACTATGGTAGTAACCAGATCAAAGTGTGATACCAGCTCGGATGTCGCCCGAATTAACAAGGTCCGCGTTCGTGGGTTCGTGAGTTAGGCAGAGGCTCACATTCGAAAAACAGGCCATAGTCTCACTTGGTTACCAGTGGCAAAAGCAGCGCCAGCCCAAGCATGGCTACTGCAATGCCCTCAACAGATGTGAGGAATCAACCTAGCCTTGGTGTTTCTGTGGCAATGCATCCACAGATCACAAAGGCTGGAAAACCACGCCAACGGATGAAATGGACATCAGAAATGAACGAGTTTATCATCCGTACTTACTACACCATCACAAGACTCGAAACAAACATGACAGCATACAGACAACAACTACACCATAGATTCACACAACAATATCCTCACCTCACTGTCACCGAACAAAGGGTTGTTGATCAAAAACGAACAATTATACACAACAACCTTATCCCACAAACAACACTTGAACTTATCAAACAACAGGTTGCTGATCAAATACATCAACAGACAGAAACATTTAACATTAATGAAGATCACGTAACCTGTCAGGATAATCCAGCAACAAGCACTGATTACAGCACACACACAACAAGTACCACTAATGATACTGCAGGCACTTCCCCATCCATCACTGATAACGTAGACATAGAATTAGTTAATACGCTCTCACTTATATTTCAGGAAACACTCATTAAATATACTGGTACAGATCCCACACAAAGACCACGAATACCAAAAATCAACACGTCAAAGGCAGTAGGAAAAACACTAGATTATGTAAACACTCACTTACTACCAAACTACATTCATTCAATTTCTACACTCTCAGACATTCATACATTAGTTTATGCTGGGGCAGTCACAGTAGTAACACACCATGGACTGAAAATACACTCACAGACAGACACACACAAAACACAATTCTATCACAAGCCTGCCTGGCAGAGAAGAATAGAAACACAAATAAATGACATTAGACAGCAATTAGGCAGGCTGACACAATACACTAAAAACAACATAACACCCAAATTAAAGAAACAACTCAAAAACATTTTCAAGAAAATCAAAACACACACAAAACACGAACATCACAACACACACATTACAGAATACATCGATACACTAAAACAAAAACTCGCAGCCAAAGCACGTAGACTCAAACGATACAAAACATGTACACTACGAAAACAACAAAATAAATTATTCACAAACAATGAAAAACTTTTCTACAGACAAATCAGTACCAAAACAAACACTGATACACAGCACAGTGGCACACCAACAGAAGAAGAACTCACAACTTATTGGTCTTCTCTTTGGTCCAATGCTGTTACACACAATGCTGATGCAGGCTGAATCGAGCAGAAGAACAGAAACTTGCACAACATACCAACTATGCCCTGTGCTGAAATAAACGTATACACGACATTCGCTACGCCGTTAACAGAACACACAACTGGAAGACACCTGGTGTAGACAACATTCACAATTTCTGGTACAAAAAGTTTACATCACTGCACCAGGAACTAGCTAAACATCTAAAACACATCATCATCAACCCATAAGACATGCCAAAATTTCTTACTCAGGGCATCACCTACATGAAACTGTGAGGATCGTGAAAAACACATCGAAAATACGACTAATTATGAGACTTCTAATTAACCCTTAACACCCATTGACGAGATAACTCGTCAAGTTTACATAGCGTTACGAAAAATGCGGTCCTTAAGGACATTTTTGACAAAAAAAATTTTTTTCAATTTTTGGAATGTTTTTTAGGTCCACAAATTTTTGCAAAAATTTTTACCCGCACAAAAAAATTTTATCGCGATTTTAATGAGCCTTTAATAAGGCTCGATTAAGGTTTAATTGTTTTTTAATGGGAGTTTTTTATCAAATTTATTTCATGGTTCCTAAGTTGTAGTGCACGGATTTTCCTTCGATAAAGTTATTTAAAGCTAGTTTCTTATGTCAAAAACGACCTCCGATAGTTTTTTAATTTTTTTAATTAATCGATTTTTTTATATATTAAGTCAGAAAGTTTTAAAGATCGAATCGGGTCGAGGGGATGTGTTAGTAACAGAACCCAGATGAGACGAAAACAAACGCGACACGACGATAAACAACAGGGGGGAATGTCGACAAAGAGAGGGAGAGCTTTGTCGAGATGCGCGCAAACAAATATCGGGTCAAAGCAAGCAGGAGAAAAAAGGGGATCTGAGAACAAAAGGGACATCTGTTAAGTAAGAATGCGGTAAAGGGATAAATGGCCACAAGAACATCTAGTGGACCGTTTAGGTTCAAAGATGACAGAGAAAAGGGCCAAAACAGAGTAAAATACAAGTGCAAACATAAAAAGGCCGTCCCCACCTCTCCGAACTTTTCCCAACCCGAATCAGTCTCGGGTTTCACCTAAAAACAAAGAGTGTGACCAATCGGGTTAAGGAAGAGGGTGAACGAAACCAATCAAGAAAATGAGATTTGGGGGAAATCTTATAAAACCCCCAGGTCTCAAGGACAAGGGGGGATTGGCAGCCGATTCTCAGCTGAGCAACGGACCCATTCTGTCCAGGACTCCACCGCATCCGAGCTCCGTCGCATCCCTGGAGGAAGGAGAAAAGACATCGCACACAAAACTTACCGGATATTGCCCACAGATCACCAGTCTCTACCTCGTTCAAGCCCCGGGGCCTATCCAAAGTAGAACATCAGCCGCCCATTGTGTAAGTTAATCTAATGTCAAAATAAATGATTTTCATGTAAGACACTTGTCATCTCTGTCTCCTACTGCCACCACTCACATATGGTTTGACTCTATATTTTCCTGACGCGCAATTAACGTATTGGCCCCAAAAACGGCGAACTTACAAAACCTAAAAACAACACAACCACAGACCCCACACAATACAGACCAATCACATGTCTCCCAACACTACAAATTATTGACATCATGTATCACAAACAAAATATACAAACATGTTGAAGAACACGACATTCTTACAGAACAACAAAAAGGTTGCCGTAGAAATCACAGGGGATGCAAAGAACAGTTACTCATAGATTCAGTCATTCTACGACAAGCACACAAACAACACAGAAACATACACATGGCATTTATAGACTACAGAAAAGCATTCGACAGCGTTCCACACAGTTGGCTGCTACGTATTCTACACATGTACAAAATACATCCATCACTCATTGCATTCTTCCAAAACGCTATGCAGCACTGGAGAACAACACTACATCTCAGGGTTAGTAACACTTCCATACAAACAAACCAAATATTCATTAGGCAAAATATTTTTCAAAAAGATTCCTTGAGTCCTCTCTGGTTCTGCCTAGCCCTGAATCCATTATCCAACATGTTCAATAGCACGCATTATGGTTACAATATCAGACACGAAAAAACAACACAGTTTACACTCTCACATCTCATGTACATGGACGACATAAAACTTTATGCATCCACACA